CTACTGCACAAAAAACCACACCACCAGTGAGTGCCATGCATAAAGATATCCGAGATATCGCAACATTCTCTGAGCCTAACAAAAGGGAGCTGCGTAAAAATTTAACCTCCTTAATAACTTAATTATTTCTCCTGCTGTCGTCCAAATAAATTGAATCACAACGATTTCATAGAATAGACTTAAAATAACTGTGTAGCGAGCTTCTTCCATCTATCTGTACACTTTTTTTAAACAAGGTACGCAGACGCTGGGAATCTAACCATATTATACTGCGGTGTAGAAGCCGCTTTTTTCTTCCAATCTATGCAACACGAGCTACGGAAAACAATGAATGTCGTCATAGTGCTTAGCATCATTGTATGACCACAATGGAATCTCTGGTGACGAGCAGCCCCATCTACGAGCATTTCAAAAAACAAGCGAACGTCTAGCATACGATTTGTTTCGATTTACGTGCTTCCGCTCAGTTAACGCGTTGTCAGTGCGTGTGTCTGTGTCCGCCGTTGAGACTTGCTCCCAGGGCATGGGTCCTCGGTCGCCTGCAGCCAATCAGTGAACTGATGCAGTTTGATTGGCTACATTTTGCCAGACGAGTGTTTCGCATGATGCACTTGGTGCCAGAATGGATTGAACTTGTTAACCGAGGCTCCACTGTAATTGAAAGTCGTCGCTAACGTCACCCAAAGGATCCCTGGTATAAACCCAGAAAACTACTCCATGCCCATTGCCTACCCGGACTGTTTTTGAACTTTACATTGTCTTTTAATAAATGACAGAAATTGGTAATAAAGTTTGACTCGATTACTGATTAGCTGTCGGTGCAAGACCGCCTGCGGTGACTTCAGAACGGCTTCCAATAAGAAATGTGAGGGCCTACTACATATAACAATTCCTTGAAATTTCCAGAGACGATAGGAACACAGATTCCGGTGGGTCACACTGTAATACCATCAAAGGCGTTAACTCAGAATGTCTGTTATTTCCAAAATATTGCAAGCTACCGCCTACTGTGGTGTGCCGATTTACCTCTTATCAGGTGTGACGGACGGCCGACAATGCTGTCCCCTTCCTTATTCAATTTCCATTGCCTCAACCTCATCCATCTTCGCAGACAGCTGTTTCCAACTCGCCGACCCCAAGAACCTTAACTGACAACATTGCGTGCATACGCGCGCGTCCAAATAGTTATGGTTGTCAAAGGGCTACTTGAACACACCTTGCACACAACTTGAACTTGCTTCACAATCATAGAAAGGCAGTTACTACCGCTGTCTCACACATTCTCGGGCCTGGCCGGACGCAGGTAGCACTCGCCCTGGCTTCGCCAACGGCCGCTGCTGCCTGACAGAGCAACTGACGTTTCTGTGCACAATAAAGCCTTCATTCTGGTGCCTAATGTTCTTACCTACAAAACGGGATTTGACTTGGCGATTGTAGGGATCTGAGTACAGATATTACTTAGATCCCAACAAATTTCTCCGGAATTTAGCTTAAGGTCACCTCTATTACGGAGGATTCTCGTCTATATCATTACTAAAGAACTGTTCCGGAGATGATTGTGACATTTGGATATTTCACATGAGCACTGGTTACTTCTGCCTTTTACCCACCAAGTGGAATTCGACCTGATGATCGTAGTTCTCCGAGTACAAGCACTGCTTAGGCGCTACACAGGTCAGGCCTTACCTGCTGTCCACCCATATTCTGTAACTTCGCATTGGTGTACTGGAGGGGGTGGATTGAGACGTCCCTCTTCGCCAC